CCATGTGCTATTTAACATCCTCTCTGGCCTGCTCCACGCTTCCCACTGCAATGGCAGATTGAAGTCTGTTGCCTTTAGGAAGTGCAACCCACTCACCACTTTTTAAACATTTTAACATTTCTGGTGTTTTTTTTTTTTTCCCCCCCATTAGACTTTAAGCTTCTCTCTAAAGGGTGTCACATGGGAAGCTCCCTGGGCTATGAGACTGGAACATTTGTTTGGTGCTTGGAGTACTTAGAGCCCTGCTCTGGTGGGCTCCCAAGTCTTTGCTGAATGATCTTCTGCTTCTACCTGCTTCCTGCCTCTGCCCAACCCATTATCGGGGCTTGTACTGTAGGGAAGAGAAGAAAGTGCCAGGGATGCCTGGCCAGAGGGCATGGAGGGGGACAGGGCAATGGGGTGTGTCCTTGTGGCACATGTCCCCAGGCACAGATAACCCAAGGCATAGACAGCTGATTGCAATAGTAAAGAAGAGATTCCAGAAAAAATTAAGTAATATCTTAGACATTTTTAAAATAGCAGAGTAATTTTTTTTGGAATTGCCACACTGAAGTTTTTCCCAAGTGGCTATGTGACTTTGCTTGACCAGTCTGATGGAGACATGAGAATGTCCACTGACAAAGACGCTGTGGACCAGCAGCATAATCACTTTTGTAGGAGTTACTGGGAAGAGAAGCACAGACGGACAAGGAGTGGAGAGGAGGAGAGGGGAGGGTGGCAGAGAACTGTCAGCAGCTGGTGTGGCTTCTGAACCAATATGCCAGCCTGGATTGCCATGTGAATAATTAAGTGCAATTTTCTCCTTGGATGGGTATTCAATTTCAAAAGTTACCAGCTCAGATTTTGCCTGGGATGTTGTCAGAAATATCTCTGATGGGTATGTTCCTAGATCAGAGTATGACAGCATCAGGGACTCCCAAGTTGAACTTATTTCATTTGATTCCAGGAACAAACAGGAACTAAGTGATCTTAGAGAATGCATTGCTGACCTTGTGTTGAGCAGCTTTAAAATAAAGCAAAATATTAGATAGCAATAAAGCAAAAAATAGTAGATAGCAGTGTCTATCTACTATCCAGGGGGAACAATGGCTGTTGGGCACTGCCTCCTTGATTAGTACATTGTTAAGCTTGATAAGATAGCTTGAGGTTGTTCCAGTTGAGAAGGAGTGAAGGGCATAGAGAAGACCTGTGAGACCAAGATGTGAACCCTTTTTCCCTGCCCTGTGTATCCCAGCCTCTACTCTTCAACCCATTTCCTGCAGTGTTAAGATAGTAATCATCCTCATCACTATCACCACCATCGTTATCACTGTCATCACCACCATCCCCATCAGTGCCACCACCATCTCCATCATTGCCACCATCATCACCACCACCATCACCATCATCATTAACATTATCATCACTGCCACCACCACCATCATCATCATCACCATCATCACTGTCACCACCGTCATCATCATCACCATCACCCCCATCATCATCACTATCATCACCATCATCATCACTGCCGTCACCATCATCATCACCATCATCACCACTACCACCACCACCATCATCATTACCACCATCACCATGATCATCTCCATCATCACTATCATCATTAGAATAATCATCACCACCACTACCACCACCATCACCATAATCGTTAACATTATAATCACTGCCACCACCATCATCATCATCACCATCATCACTGCCACCATCATCATCATCACCATCACCCCCATCATCATCACCATCACCCCCATCATCATCACTATTATCACCATCATCATCACTGCCGCCACCATCATCATCACCATCATCACCACCACCACCACCATCATTACCACCATCAACATCATCATCTCCATCATCACCATCATCATTAGAATAATCACCACCACTACCACTGCCACCACTATCATCGTTAACATTATCATCACTGCCACCACCATCATCATTACCATCACCTGCATCATCACTATCATCACCATCATCATCACTGCTGCCACCATCATCACCACCACCACCACCATCATCATTACCACCATCACCATGATCATCTCCATCATCACCATCATCATTAGAATAATCATCAACACCATTACCACCGCTATCATCATCATCAGCATCACCACCATTAGCATAATGATCACCATCACCGCTACCATCACCACCATTAACATCATCATCATCACTAACATCACCACCACCACTACCATCATCATCAAAGCATTTGTTGAGTGACTATTCTCTGTAGGGCTTTAAAAAAAAGTGCTTTAGAGATATTAACTCATTTAAAAATTATTACAACTGCCTCAAGGAGGTGCTATTATTAACTCCCTTTACAGATGTGGATCTTGAGACATGGATATGCTCAAGGTCACACAGCTAGTAAGTGGCTGAGCCAGCATCGAACACTGGCATTATTCCTTATTCCAGGTTGTGAAGTGACCAGCCAAAGGTGAAAGCATCCAGGAAACATGTTTGATTTCTTATAAAAATCTGGATGTCTGGTCTCTCTTTAAAACGTAAAAGATCTGGCAACATTCAGCTTACATCCTTACAATGCAGAGGTGCGCTGGTAAATTTTTAACAACCAGCTCTCCAGGGGAGCAAAAATGCCCTTGATTCATAAAATTTGGCAGTTTTCATGATGGAAGGACTCTCACCATAGCCCATTTCAAGCTACACTCACGTGATGCTACTGAGATGCACACAACCAGCTCTTTCGAGCCAAGCTGGTGAAGGGTTTCAGTCCAAGAGTGTCCAGGCTAGCCATTTGTCTTCCTTCCTGTACTAACTGCTGCTGAACAGAACAAACCCAAAGAAGGAGAAAAACCATATTTCACCACTGGAAACCAGGAAAGAGCCTCACGTTCCAGCAACTTTCTGATCTTCACCAAGGAAGAGTGTGGACAAGAGTCAGTGGCTGTCAAACATGAGAGATGGAAAGACAGACCACCTCAGTGAGTGAAGGGACCTGGCAGAGCCCTTTGACTGCCTGTGGCTTTCGGTGCAGCTGGAGATGAAGGTGGCATGGATTTGCGGATGGTGTAAGCCCTACCTCTGTTCAGCTTTGCGGTTGCTTCAGCGCCCCACCCACAGCCCTACGTCCAAGCCTACCTGTGAAAAGGACAGTCTGTAGGATGAGAGGTGACAACATGTGGAAGCTATGTGGATGGATGCTGGCTCCTGCCAGGGCAAAGGGGGACAGGGATGATGCTCAGTCATCTTTCCCTACCAGGGGCGACCTTTTACCTGATGTTTCCTCCAAGCCCTCTTCTGCCACCCTCCCCTCAATCCCGCTCTCTTGCCTTAGAAAAATGTCAGTCAAGCTAAACGCTTTCCTTATTCCTTTGTCTGGACCTGAAAAGATTACAGAAACCTGTAGGGACCAAAGAGTCTCTCATAGCTACGTTTTTCTTTTTCTGTACTGTGCGCATACTGTTTTGGAAATGAAAGCAAACACAAGCAACATTAAACCATTTTTGATTGTATGGTGTGCGGCACACACTGGGAGCACCAGGCACATCATTGTCCCAAGCACCTCGCCACAGCTTTGATCATCACATGATGGCCTTGTGATTGCTTTGCTCTGTTGAGATAAGGGCAGGATGTGGGTTCTGAAACCAGCCGCCCCTAGCAGGAGATGGGGGCGTTCAGCCTACAGGGAGGGGTATGGAATAGATGCTGGCAAACGATGTGCTTTATCTTGGAGATGGGGTTCCTGGGGGAATGGAGCCTGCGCAGCTGCAGTAAGAATCCCTGGGAGAGACCCCTGACTTGCCCTCAGCCACCAGCTTTCCTATTGCTCAGCCCCTCCTTCACATTGCTGCCAAATAGAGGGGCGATCTCCCTCCCGGATGTCTCTGGGGGTTCCCTGCTGCCTGCTGAGGAAGGCATTTCAGCCTGGTACTATTGGGTTCGAACTTGCCTCTCCAGCCTTATTTTCTCCTTTGGCATTTTACCCACTAGAAACCAGATCAGTGCCCACATCTGCACCCGGACAGCGTCAGTGAGGGCACAGGGTACACCTACCAACCCTCCCACTTTCCAAAAGTCTACCCATGGACAAGGTACAGTTCCCCTCTGATGTTCAGTTTTTCCACATACATAATGGGGAGAATAGTGGCTTGCAGGGCCATGGTGGAAAGACGTGAAAGATCTTTCATGATGTGAAAGATGATGTATGAAAAGTGCCTGGTACAGAATTTCAACAAAAGCTTATTCACGTTCCCCTTCCCCCTTCTCCTGCTCCTATTGTTCATGGGATCCTGACCCAAATCCCGAATCTTCTCCATCTTTTCAAGGTAACGCATTTGGAAGTCTCATGCTCAGTCAGAATTGAAGTCACCTCTAGAACATTGAAAGTACTCATGTCTATCTCGAGAGCTCAATTTTTTTTTTTTTTGTTAGAGATCACATTCTATTCAACTGGGAAACTTCACCTGTCTTTTGCGTAACACTTACTACATTGTAGGTGTTTAATAAATGCTTTCTGGGTGACTTGAAAGACAAGTGGTATGCTTACATAAAATCTCACCTCAAAAGTGACTTCATTCAAAAAACATTCATGCTGTATTCCTCATTTTATTAAGCTGAGCGTGGTGGAACAACTTGCCCAAAGATTCCAAAAGGAAATAAAATAACTGAAATTTAAGCCTTGGTTTATAACCAAAGAACATGGCCTTTCCAAGGAGCTGAGCTCTGCCATCTTCATGTTTCTGCACCCAGAGGAAGCAGGTAGGACAGATCTTCTTTCTGCCCATTTTACAGAAACAAAACAGAGTTCCAAAGCCAAGTAAATGGATCTACTTTGGTGGGTAACTGAAAGATACCCATTTTGAAGGACAGCCTCTCTGGAGCCTGATTTTAGAGGGTGGAGAAAGGGGCATGAAATGACAGGGAAAAAGGGACGCAGATGCTAAGGAGAGGTCGAAAACAAGAGGACATAGACTTCTGCAGTGATCAACATAAAGACCGCAAGGCTCCCACCAACTTCCGGCCCCTACCTGCACCGCCACCACTGACAAGACCTCCACGGAGATTCGATTAAACTCATCAAAGCAGCCCCAGGCGCCCGTCTGAGCGAGGCCTTTGTAGATGTTGCCACAAGACTGCAAGAAAATGTACAAAGATTAAATTACCGGCAGGCCAGGCTTATCAATACGTGTTGAAGTCATTCTCCATCCCCTTTATTATAGATACTTCTAGTCCCCCTAAAGACCACTGGTCAGAAATTTGTATTAAAATTTCAAGAACAATTAAATGTTTGATGGTTATGGGGTGTCAACAGAAGTCACAGGATTAAATAGAACCTTTTCAAGACACTTGGGTGAAAATCCCTTTAAAATGTCATCAGGGTTGCATTATTGTTGATTCTGTAGCTTTCAAAATCCCAGGAAATGAATAAAAGATGATTTTTCTTATGCTATACAGACAAAAAGCCTTCCACCCAGCCTTTGTCATGCACTGATGGAAAAATTTATGTCTGTATCTTTAAATCTGTGCCCAACCACCCAGGTTTTCCAGAGTGGTGAGGTAGCTGGAGACAAAGACAGGAGGTGATAACATCTGTTAAAAAAACAAACAAACTGAAAAACACTAAAGGTAAATCTTTTCAAATGAGAGTAAGGAATGAATTTACAAGGGAATAATGCATTTCTGTCCTAAAAGTAAAAGCCATCCTGGGCATTCAATATGAACTGGTAAGTGATGGGGCAACATAAAGGGATAGGTTTCTGGGAGACACAAGGTCATTGGCAAGGAGACATCATTAAAATACCAGGGAAATGCAAATAATGGAAAAGTACCATTCATTTATTCAGCGGACATTTTCTTTTCTCTCTTTTTTTTTTTTTTTTTTGAGACGGAGTCTTACTCTGTTGCCCAGGCTGGAGTGCAGTGGTGAGATCTTGGCTCACTGCAACCTCCACCTTCCAGGTTCAAGTGATTGTCCTGCCTCAGCCTCCCGAGTAGCTGGGATTACAGGCATGCACCACCATGCCTGGCTAATTTTTGTACTTTTAGTAGAGACGGGGTTTCACCATGTTGGTCAGGGCTGGTCTCAAACTCCTGACCTCGCGATCTGCCGGCCTCGGCCTCCCAAAGTGCTGGGATGACAGGCGTGAGCCACCATGCCCAGCCTTCAGTGGGCATTTTTTGACAATCAGCTCTGTGCACAGGTCATGTGCTGGACACTGGGGAGCTCAGTCTAAGAACTTTTGGTCAGGTTGAGGAGATAAGGTATATACATAAAAACAGGAAAATTACTGCATCAGTAGTGGTTTCATTGAATAATATAAACCACAAATGTCATGGAGTTCACAGAAGAGTGCGTCAGCATGCTCCCGAGTGATCAGTTTTGCCAAAGAGGTGAAAGTCAGATGGCAGCACAATAGCACCTCCCAAAGTTTATTCCGCGGAACCATAGGCCTGAAAGATGCTCTTCGAAGAAAGGGCTTTTTGGTCAAGCAAATTTGGGAAACACATTCTTCAACCCATTTTGGCCCAGTTACAATTTGTATTAGCGTTAAAGGGCTCTGAGAAGTCCTGTAACAAAAACATTAGTTTCACTGCATTACATGGCTAGGATTAGAGTCAGAAGATACGGGGATCTCACAGAAAACGACATGCTTTAGGACACACATGAGAAATGATGGCTTTATAGGACAGGGGTGTCTGTGTAGACAGAATGGAAGGGGTGAGGCTTTCCAGGAGGAGGAAGATTATGGAAGAAATACAAGCAGAATAATGGTGTGTGCAGAGAAAAATGACAGAGCCATTTTGATTGGAAAGTTGAATTACTAAAGGAAGTTATGGTTGTAAAAAGTCTTGAATTACTATGAGGGATCTTTGGAGGTTTGCAGCAGAGAACATGAGCAGAGCAATGGTATGAGAGGATTGGTCTAACTGCCACATAGGCTAGGTAGGATGTAGGGCAGACTTTATTTATTTATTTATTTATTTATTTATTTATTTTGAGAAGGAGTCTTGCTCTGTCACCCAGGCTGGAGAGAAGTGGCGCAATCTCAGTTCACTGCAACCTCTGCTTCCCGGGTACAAGCAATTCTCCTGCCTCAGCCTCCTAAGTGGCTGAGATTACAGGCGTGCACCACCACGCACAGCTAATTTTTGTATGTTTAGTGGAGATGGGGTTTCACCATGTTGGCCAGGCTGGTCTCGAACTCCTGGCCTCAAGTGATCCACCTGTCTTGGCCTACCAAAGTGTTTGGATTACAGGCGTGAGTCACTGCGCCTGGCTGTAGGGCAGACTTTAAAGAGGAAGAGAAAAATAAAACCCACGTTTCATTGAGCTTCTGGAATTAAGAGAGTTCTTTTTTCATTCATTGCAACAAATATTTATTGAGCATGTACTATGTGCTGGAGATGGTTATGGGTCATGAAGAATCAGAAGAACAAGATAGACAATGCCTCTATTCTCATGGGTCTCACATTCCCATGAGGAAAATAGACAATAAGCAATAACAACAAATCAGGCAGTGATAAAGTCCCACGGGAGTCTTAAAATGGGGGTGACATGGAGACTTCAGATTGAGCCATCAGGGACATTCTGTCTGAGGTGGTGATGGAAGTTCCAGGCCTTGTGTTTCTGTGCCTTAAATCAGGGGTCCCCAGCCTCTGGGCCACTGTCCGTGGTCTGTTAAGGAACCAGGCCGCACAGCAGGAGGTGAGCGGCAGGTGAGTGAGCAAAGCTTCATCTGTATTGACAGCTGCTTCCCATCACCTGCATTATTGCCTGAGCTCCGTCTCCTGTCGGATCAGTGGCAGCATTGGATTCTCAAGAGAGCATGAGCACTATTGTGAATTGCACATGTGAGGGATCTAGGCTGGGCGCTCCTTATGAGAATCTAATGCCTGATGATCTGTCACTGTCTCCCATCACCCCCAGATGGAATCATCTAGTTGCAGGAAGAGACGACCAGGGCCCCCACTGATTCTACATGATGGTGAGTTGTATAATTACTTCATTGTATATTACAATGTAATAATAATAGAAATAAAGTGCACAACAAATGTAATGTGCTTGAATCATCCCGAGACCATCCCACACTACTGCAGTCTATGGAAAAATAGGCTTCCATGAAACTGGTCCCTCGTGCCAAAATGGTTGGGGACCACTGCCTTACATTATTCCATTTCATTTGCAAAACAATCCAAGTGTCACAAATACCAAGTGGAAATTCAGAAATCGACATCCATGTTTAACTATTCACAATATTTAAGATATGGAATCAACCTATGTATCCATCAATGGATGAACTCATAAAGAAAATGTAGTATATACACACATTGCAATACTGTTCAGCCATTGAAAAGAATGAAATCCTGTCATTTACAGCAACAGGGATGGAACTGGAGGATGTTATCTTAAGTGAAAGAAGCCAGGCACAGAAAGACAAATACCACATGCTCTCACTCATATGTGAGAGCTAAAAAAGTTGATCTCATGGAGGTAGAGAGTAGAATGATGGTTACCAGAGACTGGGAAGGGTAGGGGGAAGGAGAAGATGAAGAGAAGTTGGTTAATCGGTACAAACATACAGCTAGACATAAGAAATAAGTTATCATGTTCAACAGCACAATAGGGGACTATGGTTACTAATAATTTATTTTATATTTCATAATAGCTAGAAGAGGAGATTTGGAATATTCCCAACACAAAGAAACAATAAATCTTTGGGATGATGGTTATCCTAATTACCCTGATTAGATCATTATACATTGTATACGTATATCAAAATATAACATGTACCCCATTAATATGTACAATTATGATGTATAAAAAGATGTTTTAAAAATTCAATTTTTAACAGTGATTTTGAAAGCTTTTCAAACTGAAGACCCTTTTTATAAAATGAAAACCCAAAATATAAAATAAATGAAGTGGAGTTTCCACAGGTGGATGCTTGTCACCCCCACAATTCTCCCCCACCCCAGGGCCTGCGGCTGAACCCCAGGACCCTAAAGTAACCCTTGTGTTTAGTTCACCACGTATCTCCTGGTCCTATCGGCGAGACTGGGGCATTATCTTGCTGTGGGATGGTGAGCTTTGGGCCTAGGAGAATGGAAAGAATAGGGCAAAGGCCTGGAAGTGAGAAGGGTGCTGAAGGCAGAATCGACATTGGTGACCAATTAGAGGTGGGGAAGGAAGGACATGAAGTAACCAGGGTGCCTGAAGCTTTCCACCAGGATCTCAGGGACAATGAGATGGTCCTTCCTGATGATGGGGAATCTGGCAGGGAGAAAGGAAGGGTGCTAACCACAATGCAAGAGAAGGGCATTCGAGAGACATCCACTGCTCCATTAGAGAGAGATGAGACTAGGACTCAGGTGAAGCTGGAGAATAGACATGCCTCCATAAAGGAGCCATAGGTATACACATCACACTGGAAATTATAAAAGAGGATCAGCAAATGAGACCGAGAAGCCAGGAGACCAGAGACTCAGGAGGAGGATTGTGTAAGTATAGCATTTCCGAAGTGAAGGGAGTAGGGTCTTAAGAAAAAGTGTAGTATCCACAATACGGCCGCTGCAGAGAGGGCTGGAAATAATTCCAAACACTTTCAGGTTTGGAACCATTTGATGTCCCTGCAGTAGCATCTCCAAATTGAGGTCAAGAGGGGAAAGTATTGCGGCTATAATATAAAGGATGTTTCGGCACTAAAACTGCAGTCATTTTCAGAGAAAGTGGCTGTTTTTATAGGTTTTCCATCCAGGATAACAGAGTAAAGCAATAACTTTCCCTTTGCTTCACGTCTTTGCACCGTTCTCCTGTTCTCCTGTTCTCCCCAGCTCACTGCACGCCCAGTCCTCATGAGTTAAGTGAGGCGATGCTGCTTATAGGATTTCTAAGGCAGAGGAGATTGCGAGGGTCCTTGACCACAGCCTAGACTCTCCTCTTCAATCTCTCCCTTTGCTTCACTGCAGACTCCCTCCCCATGTTCCTGAGGTATCACTTACCTGGTTACATTTTAAGCCTCTTATGCTTTTCCATGTCTACTACCGCATCAGCTGGTTCCTCATTCCCTCTGGTTTGAATGACTGAGATGCTCTCACCAAAACCTTATCCTGCTTCCAGTCTCTTCCTTTCTCACTTCATGGGACTGCCAATCTTTATGCTTTTGCTGCAGTTCTGAAGCCTGCAGATTCTTTCTGCAGCCCCCACTTCAAAGTGAGATGCTTTCAGTGGCTTTCAGTCCTTCCCCTCCTTATCTCCTGTTTTTGATCCTCTCTAAGGCAGCTTAGCCCTTGTTCCATATTTATTTCCAGCTTTAACTATGGACAGACCTGAACAGAGTATATTGCTGTGAGTGTCATGAATGACACATCAAAACCTCCCCTGGAGAAGTGCACAGCAGCTCTTTCCGACCTCTCACCCTTTTTCTCCTTCTCCCAGCCAGGTCCTGTGAGGAGGGCTCACGGGGTGAAGTCAGAATGAGGACTGGGGACAGATACTGGCCACACATAGAATTTGGTCATGGCTTTAAAGCTGACATTCTAATGGGTTAGAACGTGTGAAAATACCGCATGCTCTCTCTGTCACCAACCCCAAAACTGAGCCTTGGTTTTCACATCCTCCACATGTCTTTCCTGACCAGCCCACTCTGTGGCTCTCCCCCTATTCTGGAATATTCCACGGTCTAAAGTTTGTAGGGCACATGAGCACCCAGGATTATGCTATCTGGGCGTTAACTAGCTCCCCTGAAGATAACATATATCCCTTGCCCTCCAAATAAAACTGGGTTATACTCTGTCTATCTATCTTATCTATCTATCTATCTATCTATCTATCTATCTATCTATCTATCTAATCTCAATCTATCTCTCTCTCTCTCTCTCTCTATCAATCATCCATCCATCATTTATCTATCTGAAATCCATCTACCATCTACCCTCTCTCTCTCTCTCTCTCTCTCTCTCCATATGATCTGTTTTTGGCATCCTTCCACAATGCCCAGCACATGCTGAGCAATGGCAATACTCAATAAATTAATTGGATTGCGAGTGTTTTACCATAAAAAATAATTCTGAACAGCCAGAAAACAAAGGGAGAGGAAGTTTGCAAACAGCTTAGTGTGGCTGTTTGGTTACCTGGGATATTTGGTGTCCAGGAAGGGAACACCTTCCTTCTGGCGTGTTTCACTGTGGCTATGCTTAGTTATGATGTTCTACCCTGTGTCAAGCTTCTACTTCATGAAAGCTTAGCCTATCGTTGAAAACAAAACAAAACAAAACAAAAACAAGGATAGACTCCCCCATTCACCCTGTACTTTTAAAGGAACTGGTGGGGTTAGGGTTCAGTGATTGGTTTTGATAGAATTGAGTAAAATGACTATCGTGACCCCTGCCCATGGAACCAACTTATCATTTCCTGCTTGGTATTCTAGGTGTGACTTTGAAGAAATCTGGCTGATGTTCTTCAATCAATACAACACGTCTTCTACATCCAAATGAGTGTATCTTTCAGAATGTTCCCTTTGGGAGACTACTTACTTCAGCAGTGCTGCTGCCATTGCTCAACTATAGAAGAATCTAGAAACATAAAAGAATCCCTAAGGCTGAGGTCATTTCTATAAAGGGGGAAAAAACTCTACCTTTCTGTTCCAGCCCGACTTAAAGAGAAACATTATCTCAATGTGTTCATCAATAAAAGCAACTGTGCTAAAATTTAGGGGATGGAGACCATGTGGAAGACTAGCTTTTTGGGTCTAGATCCTTGCTTTGTTTACTTACCATGAAAAAACATGGTGCCACAGGATGCTGCAACTCTACACAACAAAATTATGCTACAGAAATGATTAAATGATAGAGGATGAATCTCATTTACAGAGTGCTATACGTGGTAATGGCAAGCATTATTTCTAAAATTATAACTACATTAACTTTATTTTACAGTCAATATATCACATGACTTTTATATATAAATGTTTAATCTATTTAATGCAACTTTTTTTTTTTTCACTCCAGATTTATCTGCATGTCATCCTGTTGACAAAAGGGACTTACGGCAGTTTACAAAAACACATACAATATAACAAAAATAATGAGAGAGGGAGATAATCTGTTATTACATTTGTGTTTTAAAAAAAGAAGCTATATAAGGTTCAGTTGTGAGCAGAATATTTCTGGCTAAAGAAGTGACCTCATGGGCCTTTTGTTTCTCTGGCTTTTCTCGGTGACTCAGAACCTGGAACACAGTGGTTCTTAAAAAATGATAAGTGCCTGAATGAATATTAGCTTTGCGCTTGTCTTCTGTGGGCCTCTGTGCTCTGAGTCAGGGTTGATTAGCCTGCTTTCAGAAATCATGCCTGCCCTTGCAGTATATTCTGCCCCTGTTGATATTCTGGGGAATGTCCACTTCTACAGAAGAGCACAAATACGTCGAGCTTTTATGTGAAGACAACTGCCTTCATATTGGCTACTCGTGAGCCTTTCTGTGTTTCTAGGTCAAATAGGGAAATTAGGACTTTGGATATATGTTCATTTTCTTCATTTTACAGATAATAAAAGGAAGAGCCAAAAAGATGAAGTCAGCCATCCATGGTCAGAGCTCACTGGTGGAATTAGAATACAAAGGGCTGTGCTTTCTTATCACATGAAAGCCTTACAGGGAGGCCAACAAACTCCAGGGTTCAAAGGTCCAACTTTACCACGAAGGAGCAAGCAGAGACCTCCTGATCTGGGCTTTGAGACCTGGGGAAGCTGGATCAGGGTGGCACGGATGCGTCTCAGCCCTGGTTTGGCTGCCCTGAGTTCCTATCCCCCACCCCCACAACCCAGGAAGCTGGGTGGAACTGTACCTTGTAATCCATCTGCTCTGAGCAGTTGAACACATAGACCAGGATGCCCAGTGCACGGCCCAGGTCCTTGGTGGTCTCGGTCTTGCCTGTGCCTGCAGGTCCTGCGGGAGCCCCACTCATGGTCAGGTGCAGGGACTGGGTGAGGGTGATGTAGCACCTGCCAAACACGGGAGGGCATAGGTCATCATCCTTGGGGGCCCAGTGAGATAAGACTAAGGCCCAACGCCATGTGAGATCTGGCAGAGCTTCTGAAAAGGAAAGCCAAGAGCCCTGCCCCTCTTGCCTGCTCCCCACAGCACTGTGGGGAGGACACTCTAGAGGGCAAGCTCATTACAGTGCACCCTCCGTACAGGGCATCAGAGGCTCCCTGTCAGGTTCTTCTTCTTCTGGGTCTGCTTGCTCCTCCAGCTCCATTTCTCACTGTTCCCCTCCTCTGAGACACAGACCTCTGCAGTCCAGTCACACAGAGCACCGTTCCTCTGCCAGACACACTAGGACTGAGCTTGTCCCTGCTCCTCCCCCAACCCATCCCCCAACTCTTTGAGTCGACCTGGATGATGTTCCTCTTTAATCTTTGCCTGGCTAATGGCCACTAATTCCTTGGGACTCACATTTGGCTTCACCCACTAAGTGTTCCTGGATCCCCCAACACCGGGGTGAGTGAGCAGAGGCTCCCTCAGCTGAGCTAGACGCCACTTGAACTTCCTGTGACATATATTGTATATATCTTCAGTATATATCTTCATAGGGTACACGAAGGCAGGGCAATATCTTATTCATTGTTTCATCTCCAGAACTTAGCACACTCTAGGCACATACAGGCCCTCAAAAACTATTTATAAACCATAAATGAATCTGTGAATGAATGGATCGCATTCAATCCATTTAATCCTTTTGGGACTCTTTTTACCAGTAACAATAAAATAAACTCAGCTTTAAGCTTACTTCTGGTACTATTAAAAAGGACTTATATTTCTTAAAAAGTAATAAAAAATACCATATGATTCAGCAACTCCACTCTTAGGAATTTACACAGGATAAATAAGAATATATGTTTACACAAAGACTTGTGTGTAGCACAATATCTACCTGTTCACAGTCCTTGTTCATAGCAGCAGTGTTCATAACAGCAAAAAACTAGAAACAACCCAAATGTCTATCAACAGTGAATGGATAAGCAAAATGTGGTAATTCATAGTGTAATACTCTTCAGCAATATAAAGGAATGAAGTATTGAACATGCTACAGAATGGACGAACCTCAAAAACATTACTGTAAGTGAAAGAAGCCAGATATGGGAGATTGTATGTTGTCAGGCGGGGTGCAGTGGCTCGCGCCTGTAATCCCAGCACTTTGGGAGGCCAAGGCAGATGGATAGCTTGAGCCCAGGAGTTTGAGATCAGGCTGGGCAACACAGCAAAACCCCATCTCAACAACAACAACAAAAAAACAAAACAAAAAAACCCAAAAAAACCAATTAGATGAGTGTGGTGGAGTGCGCCTGTAATTCCAGCTACTTAGTGGGCTGAGGTGGAATGATTGTTTGAGCCTGGGAGGAGGAGGTTGCAGTCAGCTGAGATCATGTCATTGCACTCCAGCCTGGGTGATACAGTGAAATCCTGTCTCAAAAAAGAGATTATATGTTGTCATTCCATTGATATGAAATGTCCAGAAAAGACAAATTAAGATAGCCAGCAGATCAGTGGCTGCCTGAGGTTTGGAGTGAGAGAAGGAAATTATTGCAAATAGGGTGAAGGAAATGTTCTACAATCGGATGATGGTGAGGGTTACATAACTCTATTTACTAAAAATCATCCAATTGTACATTGTACACCTGCAATGGGTGAACTTTAAGGTATGTAATTTATGCCTCAATACCTCAATAAAGCTGATAAAATTGTGCCGCTGTTCTAACTTTTTAATATCTAGCAAATCAATACATAGACTCTCAACTTACAGGCGTGGCTGTGTGAGAGGGTGTCCAAAATTAATTCTCTCTGTTTCTGAATCTGATGTTGTGAGATGACCAGAGACTCTGAGACTCTGAAGATGCCACCTTTATGTCAGATGGTGGCTGGGTTTCTACTGTCTTGACTAAACCTTGGACCGAAATGGTTTTTTTTTTTTTCCTTTTCCTTTTAAAAAACAGAGACAGGGTCTCGCTATGTTGCTCAGGCTAATCTCAAACTCCTGGGCTCAAGTGATCCACCCCTCTCAGCCTCCCAAAGTGCTGAGATTATAGGTGTGAGCCATTGTGTTCAGCCCCCAGATGGTTTTGAAAGTCTTTAAGTTCCCTTTTTCTCCTTTAATTAAGTGCAAAATTCCCTTATCTGTTTCAGCCTTTGAAAGGCTGAATGTTGCCCTTCAGACCTGCCACAAGGCACGATGAGGTGAGTCAGGCTTAGGGTGAAAAGTTGGGTCTGGTCTTGTCCTTCTTGGCCGTTGTTACCATTTGGTAACACTTCTCTTTCTCGTCTCTCTCTCGCATTCCCAGCTAGATATTCACGGAGCCCTATGCGCGGCCTTACCTGCACCTGCCCTCCCGTGCTCTTGAGTTTCTGGCTCCAGGTGGATCCCATGCCTGCTACCTCTCCCAGCCTCGGGCTTCCTCTACAACTGCTCAGGGCCTGCCACAGCCCCCTACCTCCCAGGAGGACAAGCTGCCTGAACTAGCAGAGTCTTCAAGCCCCGACAACTCACCTCCTCACCTTCCTTCCCTCTCATTGCCTTTCTGTCCCACAGCTGTCCCCTCTGCCAGCTGAGGGCACATCACAGGCCTCTTTACTCTGGAGCTGCAGGGCTCTCAGAGAGTTTGGGAGTCCAGAAACACCAGGTTTCACAAAAATATAAGTAGCATAGAAAAAGTTAAGAATTCCTGAAAATAAATACATGGGACTGGGTCCATCTCTTTTTGAGCATCTACTGAGCTTTTGGGGGAAATGTCAAAATATCATTATCTTTTGGGGGAAATGTCAAAATATCATTATCTTCCCCTCACAAGAACAGAACTCCAGAAATGGAAGGGATTTCCAATCTCCTATTTTACATATGGGGAGACTGGGGTTCAGGGAGGGACAGTGGGCTGTCTAGTGAGTTCGAAGGCAGGGTCATTGGGGCTTTCACTCAGGCCATGAGAAAAAACACATAAAAAAGAAAGACAGGACCGGGCATGGTGGCTCATGCCTGTAATCCTAGCACTTTCGGGCCGAGGCAGGTGGATCACCTGAGGTCAGCAGTTCAAGACCAGACTGGCCAACATGGTGAAATCCTGTCTCTACTAAAATTACAAAATTAGCTGGGCGTGGTGGCACGCACCTGTAACCCCAGGTACTCAGGAGGCTGAGGCCAGAGAATTGCTTAAACCTGGGAGGCAGAGGTTACAGTGAGCTGAGATGGTGCCACTGCACTCCAACCTGGGTGACAAGGTGCGACTCTGTCTAAAAGAAAAAAAAAAAGAAAGAGAAAAGAAAGAAAGAGGCAGTATTTCTGTTTGTCACAAGGGAGGCTGCCATGACGCCTGGGCCACTGAGCCAGCAGCAAGTCCTTTGGGACATATCCCTGCTCTAGGATTCTCTCTGAGGTCTTGTTAGAGTGCTCATCTCTTTAAACACCCAAGCCAGCTCCTTTGATGCGCTCCTGCTTGCAAATGTGGGCCAGCAGACCATGCTAGAGTTGTTTCAGGCACAGACTCTGGAGTGAGACAGAATGAGTTCAAACCTTGCCTCACTATGAAGCGTCCGTGAGACTCAGCCAAGTTATTTAAACCTCTTTGCACCTTAAAAACAAAAGCATCCTTAAGAACTATGACATCGCCTTTTCTTTGTACAAGGAAACTTAGATAAATTTGCTGCTTCAAAAGCAGTGGCAATTGTGACAATGGCAGAAGATCCTTAAGGAAGAGAGATCCTGGCTGACGAGTCCCAACTTGGATATGGATTGATTTAGTTTGGTTCCAGTGGGAACATGGGAATGTTAGCGTTGGAAGGGATTTTAAAGGTGAGGCTGTTGGACTCTTTCACCATGCTAGGTGCTCCCCCTTTAAATCCTTCAAATACGATCATATAGCCTTTTCTTTCAGTGAGAGGCACAGTTTATTATTCTAGAAGTCAGCCTATTCCACAGTGGGCTGGTTCTAATTGTTTGAAAGGTCTTCTTAACATCGAACTAAAATTAATCTTGTTTTCTTTGGGAAAAGAACTTCTACAGGTTTTCTTCTTATCTGCCCCACCAGGGTCTTCTGAGGATACGATGAGGCAAGATATTTGGAAGTGCCGTGAAAAGTAGGAAACTGATCAACTTTGAAGGTATTATTTTTGAGGCAATAAATTCTTTTTTTGATACAGATATTCAACTGGAAGAGAAAGAAAATATCAAAGCTGCTATATCTTGATTTCAGCTATGAATAGCCTGTGCTTATCACAGAAAAGTGGTCCAGATAATCTTAGAGTAGAGTAGGTGGAGTCATACTTGGCTTGTATTAATTTTCTATTGCTGTGTAACAAATTACCACGTACTCAGTGCCTTAAAACAACCTCCCCTTGTTATCTCACAGTTCTGTGGGCCAGAAGTCCAGGTGGGTTCTCTGCCGAGGTCTCACAAGGCCAGACTCAAGGTGTCTGCTGGGCTGGACTATCATGTGGTGGCTTTGGGGAAGAGTCTGCTTCCAAGCTCATTCAGGTTCTTGGCAGAATTCACTTCTGAGGTCCCTGTTGGCCAGGGGATCTCCCCGTTCCTAGAGGCTGTTCTACCACCTTGCACACGGCCCCTGTCACCTTCAAAACCAGCTATGGCATGTCAAATTCTTCTCATGCCTCAAATCTGACTTTCCCTTCTGCTGACTGAGGAGCCAGGAGAAAGTTCTGTTTTTAAGGGCTCGTATAATTATATTAGGTCTACCAAAATAATTTCCCTTTGCCATATAACAAAACACAACCATGGGAATAATATCATCACAGTCACAGTTTTTACTCACATTCAAAAAGGAAGGGATTATGGAAGGGTGAGGGTCCTTATAGATCATTTGTAGAATTCTGTCTACCACATGGTTCAATAACCATAACTGAGGAATGACCATGAATGCAACAGTATCTACCTTCAGGGAGGCCCCGAGGCATACTCAGCTCACTGATGTTTAATGTCTTTACTCATAACTTGAAT